TATTGTGTTCTGATTTTGTTTTGATGACACAGAAGAAGAAAGGCAAGAACTAAAATACGAAGAAGAACAAAAAGAAGAACAAGAAGAACAAGAAGGCGTTTAGGAAAGAGTGGGGCACATTTTTGGAGACCAGTTCCCCACCTGTGATAGAACTCTGCACTCACATAGCGCGAACGCCCGACATAGCACCCGTGCACAGCCAGCAGACAGCATCAGGTGTTGGAACTCCTGTCACAAAAGGATTTTTTTTTTGGGGGGGGGGTGCAGTCGTCTGTTGCGTTTCCTGATCTGTCCTCAGAAAATGTCCAGCGTGGGCGGCTGTGCCAATATGGCAGTGCTCTCCGCTTGTTTGATGATGCAGAGCATGTAGTCTTGGTAAGAGTTTTACAGCACTTGCAACACAGTTACGAGTAGACTATATAAGTGCTGAAGATAACAGTAACATCCCCCCCAACCCCCCTCCCCCACAAAAAAAACAACAACAAAAAACCAACAAAAACAACGACAACAAGCAAATACAAAAAAACAACAAACGACAACAACAACAAACAAACAACAAAAACCAACAAACAAAACAAACACCCCCCACACACACAAACAACAAAAAACAAACAGCTCCAACAACAAAACCAAACAAACGAACAAGAGAAGCGATAAGGATGGTAGGTGTTTGATAGAAAAGAAAGGGGCAGACTCACACCCGCCGACCACCCACAACAACGACGATGCAGAGAGTGATTAGGAATATTTTTACAAGGAAGATTCACTCGTCTTTTGTCGGGGAAGTCTGTCTGTCTGTCTATGACGTCACGTCGATAGCCTGTGTGCCAAGAGCAGATGAACGTCTGGAGGGGTGGAAGCCTTGACAAGGTCCAAACTCCTTGAGGGCAAGGCATCTTAATTAAAAAATCCGGAATCTTCGGTCCAGGGTGATAACGTGTGTGAGCTGTTCAAATGTTCTAAGCCTAGGATGCAAATTCTTCTATTCAGGAGAAAGAAAAAAGTGGTTCTATTCTTTTAACAATTGTTCTTAAATTATGTATCTTTTCTTGCTTTTTTCAACTTTTAGAATTTGAATGTAGAAAACTATGTCTCGAGCACATGCAACCTATATCCTAGATTAAGATTTTTCCAATAAAAACGCTTATCCACGGTTTTGGGTTAGTACATCTGAACATAATCTGGCCGACGATAAGACACATCGTGTCATGCTTTTCTCGTCTTAATAGCAATAAACTTTTTAACGGAAAATATCACCACGGAAAGCAGTATGTAAGTCGATGGGAATCCTCTGTTTTGTGACAGATCCTCACAGCCAACCTCGACACCGGGGTTACTTTGCGATAAGTGCAACAACCACCCCC